TAAATATTAATATTCAGTTAAATTATTTGTTTGTGACAATTTTATATAATTTGAATAAAAAAATATTTAATAAAATAACCAGATTAGTCGTTCAATTGTTTTTTGTTTTCTATTTTTTTTTTGTATTCTTCTTACATTGCAATTGAAAGTCCTTAAAATCCTTGGGGTATATAAAATAGTTTTATGTTTAATATATATAAAATATATTTGTACAAAATGAATGTAAAATTGTTACATGCATACATACACAATCATAAATATATTATACGAGTAATTGTTTGAATGAATTTAAATAAATTTTTATATTATTAGAAATAAAATAATATTTTAAATCAAATGAAAATTGTCATTTTCATGTTTATTTTATACTTCCGTTTATTGAAAATTGAATATCCTTTAGGGATAAAATTATGAAAATGTTTCCTTTAAAAATGAAAATAATTCTTTACTGTTAAAAAATTTCAATACATTTTTTGTTGTGTAAATGTGTGTTTCTATAACGTAAGTATATTTATAACTTTATTCACAAATAAAGTGATAAACTATAAGTTATCGGTAGTAATAATAATTTATGTAAAATAATAATTTATTTTAGTAGTTGACTTGAGACTGTTGTCAGTTTCAATACAAAGTTATACTATTAATTGTAAATGTTCAATTTATGAATACATGCGCCACTCTAACAGTTATTGAAAGAAAGGAATATTCTGTACTATATGGTAATCATGTTTTTTTTTTAACAGCATTGTTATTGTAATGTTTTTTATAATGAAACCGTAATAGATTCAAAGAAGGTTCCTTTTTGAAAATTTTTTTACAATAAAAATTTTTTTAATCAATAATAAACGAATTCAGTAATGTTAGTTTGTAAAATTATATATGAAAATCAAAATATTTTTAACAACGTTTATAAGCATGCAAAGTACAACGATAATAATGACTTATAGAGAATTTGCATTTATTCTACTAAAAGCATTTTGAATATAAAATACTTTATTGAGTAAATCATTTTCGTGTTTGGCATTTCATTTGATATACTTTTAATATAGTTATATATGTATATAAACTCATTTATTATATAAACTCAAAAAGAGCCAAGTAACTCGAACAGAATGTGTATATACTTATTTTTGCCCATAATTAAAATATAAAATGGCAAACATTTGATTGGTTTATGTTACATACCATTACCACGAAATCATTATTCAGTTGTATAAATTTGTTCTAACATTTAATTTATAATAATTTATAAAGTAGTAACTAACACACTACTTATAAATAAAATCTCTAAAATTACTAAATAACCTTCACTGACAGAATTCGAATGGTGTTGATACTGGTTTGCTTATATTCTACCACTATTTTCTACATTTAATAATCTCACAAAAAAGAGCAGTAAAAAAGTGGTCATCACTAAAATTATTTCAAAATATTTTGGAAAAATACAAAGAAAAACTCAAAGGCACTTAAAACGTCATCATTAAATTGATTTTTGGCTTTAGTTGTGAAATTCCTTGAAAACCGAACTATATTCTATTTTGTAACGAAGAATCAAGATGCGTATTTTCTTGTTATTCCATATAGTTAGTGCCTTGAATTTTTCTTATTACAAATAATTTATGCGGTTGTAAATAATACCAGTTTTATTTACAAAACCTTATGTAATTACTACAAATATGACTATTATTCAGTTAATCGGTAGCAAATAAACGCATTTTCGAAACCTGATTTAGACATTTTGCTTTCTAGTTCAACCATTCCATTCTCATTAAATTTTAAATATCTTATATGAAATTTTTAATTTTCTAATCAACAATTTGAGAGCAGATGTTACAACACAAAAAACAAAAATTGATTGTGCAGAAAGTACTTAAACATTTACATGAAATTACTCATTTAAAATTTTAATTTTAAAAAAATTTTTATACCATAAGACAAACATTGTGTTACAAAAAAAAAATAAATGTAAAAAGAAAAACCTAAACATTGTTTAGTTTATCATAATAAGAACACTATTTTTCAACCATCATATTAGGTTTATACAATTTAATCATTGTCATCAACACATTTATTGTAGTTATATGTCAAAATTTAACTGGTTTTTCTTTTTTTTAACAGGTTAGTGTTTTCCACATATTTTCCACCCTTTTTTTTTCTAATTTTTCCTATTTATTTTCTTATTAAAATTTTATATTATACTTGTATATTATGGTAAACGTTTTCTACTTTTTAACCCTATGTTCATCATCTAAAATTATCTTATATATTATATTATTATAATGCTATATATGGGTATGTAAAAAGGTATTATTCACGTACGGAAAAAAAAGAGGAAAAAAGTAAAAAATAAATAACACACTGAAAACATATGACATGGGTATTAAAAAGATACAAATTGTTATAATATTCTATTTTTACATAGTCAGCTTACTTATTTTCAGCTATAAATGTTAATAAACTATTCTCAATGCACACTGATAGTCATCTACTTATTGTTTCACTATATATCTATGTTAAATTTATGTAAGAACTTAAAATTTTGATTAGTTTTAACCTTCCACTTTTTGTTGCTATAATGCTACTTTTTTTTTTATTATTTTTTTTTTTATCTAATGCGACATCCTTATTATAATGTATTTGGACTAGGTACATGTATTTCTGTTTTAATTTTATATTATTTTTTTCATTATTTTTTTTTTTTCTCATTATTCAAGTGCATAGCGTTTTGTTAACTTTGTAATACATTATGTACATATACACACACATATATGTTTATGAAGCCTTTTAATACATTTCTATATTAATATGCTTGTATTTATGTACATATATGCATGTATATCACTCGAGAAATGTATCAGTATTGTAGCAGAATACGTAAATAATGTAAATATTTGAAGATGAATAAAGTTTTCTCACCATACATCATATCGCAGATATGCACTTTAATACACTTATTTAAATTATATACGTTTGTATAATGTAATGTAACACGTGTAGATGTAAAAATTTATATTATAATATATAATGTATATATACGTAATATTATGAGAACGCTAAGTTCATATTTTAATGTTGCAAGAATTTGTGGAAAATTATTTAAATCATTTTGTATTACTAAAAATACTTCACTCCTAATAATATATGTAGGTGTATATGTATATGCATGCATAATATTCATAGTTGAGTTCACTAAATTTTATCAAAATGAACTTATCTATATGAGAAAAAAAAATAGACTTAAGAGAACATGCATACATACATACAAAACACTTTTTAATATAAGTTCATAATATTTTAAGGTAGTGATGCATTTAAATTTAAATTTAAATACATACATACATAGTATACTTGTATACGTGTACATGTTTTGGGATATTTATTTTAAGTTGTTTTTTTTTTTATAAAATTTTTACGAACACATGATTTAATGTGAAAAGGTGGAAAAAAAGGTATACTAGAATAACAGTTATTTGCATCAACGCCAATTTTATTTAACTACAACCTTATATATATATGTATATGCAACGTATATACAGCGAAGTATCATTATTTTAAAAGTCATTAAGTTTTATTTATACGATTAAAGGAGCTTACATATTAATTGTATACGTCCATTTTTTTTTTTGAGTTAAGGATTTGTTTTGAATGTGAGATTATTCTATATAAAATTTTGAGCGGAAAAATACTAAATTAAATTCCAGGAAAAAATTTGAAGAGAAAAAAAATTAAAAAAAAATTGTATTAAAGCTTCAATTTTCAAAAGCAAGATTATGAGCCTGATTGTCTATCTCTCTATTTTACTTGGAAAATGAGTAACTATCATATATTTGTATAATGCAATTTTCGAGTGAGAAGAATAATTTGCTATTGTGTATCTCGTTTTTCTCTGAAATACATACAAAATTTATTCACTTTGTTTTTGAAAGTGAGACGTTCAGTAGATATTTTGAGAAGAAATGCAAATAATCATATTTGAAAAGTGAAATATCAATTAAAAAATCGGAGAATTCTGATTTTAAATTAAAATAAACCTTAGTCGATTGCAACTGCTTTTATGCAACTAATCTTATAATTTTGTAATTCACTGTATTTCTAAGAGAGTCTAAGATAAGTAAAAGTTACATTTTATAAAATGTGTTATGACTTGCTTATATATTTTAAATTTAGTACATAAAATAATATCCACGATATTATATATAAAGTGAACATATTTATGGTGCAAAATTTATTTATTTTTTTTTTAAATTTTATTTAAGAAAAACTAAAATTTCACTTAAATATTTTGTTTACCTTATGCGGTGTGAAAAGTCAAACAAAACATAAAAGCTTTTTCCTATAAACTTGTTTTCTTTTTCTTCTTTTTCTATACTTTTTTAAACGTAAATAAATTAAAAGTAACTATATACATACTACATACTATATACACATATATGTAGGTATATATGTTGAGTTAGACAGTTATTAGTTTATGTATTTTAAAACTAATACAATGTTATCTTGTCCCAAAAGTAAAACGTATAATTTAATAAACAGAAAATGATTTCAAGAAAATTCTAAGATATTTGATTGATGTGAATTAATTAACAAACGTATGTATATACTGCAAATTTTTTAGGAAGCAGCCGATCAGATATTTCAAATGTTTTTCATTTACTTAATATATTTGTAGTTTAGATAAATGTTAAAATTTAAATATATTTTTTCTATAGGATATACGAGCAGAATAAAATAAATGTTGTGTAAGAGAATTCAAATAGGAGTTCACGTTAAATTAAGCTGAAAGTGTTGGAATATTATAAAAGAACTTTAATAAAACCTAAATATGTACAACTACATAGGGTTCAATTACCACCCAATCAATCGAAAACTACAACTCTTTCAGAAGAACAGGCTATGTTTATTATTTCAAATTATGAAACACAAGAAATTTTAATAAATAAATTTAATAGCAAGCAAAATAATATTAAATTCCGGAATCATAAAATAAAAAAAAATCTTACCATTTATAAATTACAGTAATCTAAAATCGAAAGAAATTTATAGTATACGTGTTAAGAAAAAGACCCACCTGAAAGAGGAAAAAAATAAAATAAATTGAAAATTATTCATTTGAAAAGTAAATTGATTTATTTGAAATAAATAAAATACGACTAGAATAAATTATGATACTGATATAAAAATAAATAACTAATCAAATTAATTCAATAAACTTTTAAATTTCTTAGTATTGAATAAGGAGTTTATTCGAATTTAAATTCACTCCGTATAATCAATTTATCGTATATTATTCAATTAGAGTTAAAAATAAATATTATTGATCTCTGATTAAAGATCCGTTAGTCATTTTTCATTTATAATCATTAAATTTTTCTGATACCTATAAAAATACACTCATTTTTACCATTTTAACTATATAAACATAGATTGCATTTATTAAATTGTCAAGAATGGCTAATGTAATAAGATTTCTATTTAAAAAACGAAATTAATATTCGATATTATGTTTAATACTACAGGAACATTCTAGCTAGCTGTTCATTTTTTATACCTATATGGCGAATAAAAATTCTTGAATATTCGAAGAGGGGCCACTAATAACATAGTTTATGTTGAACAAATTTTCAAATTACATAAGATTCCAAGTATATGTATTTGCTTTTGAACATTAATCGTTAAAGTCAAAAATATAAACTTAACAAGCGACACACAAAAAAGTAACTAAATATTTTAGATTTTAATAAATGCATTTTCAATTGAATAAGAAAAAGGTAAAGTACGCAAGTACTAAAAATGTTATTGAAGATGGAAAATGCATAATTTGCATCCAAAATTAAATAAGATTTAATAAAGTTTTCACATCAATTAAATGGCGTTTGCGTATGTGGTAAATGTGTATGTGTTACACAATAATTTTCTAGAAAAAACAAACTTTATAAATTCTTACATAATAACATATTTTTCACATTTCCCTATTTAAAAAAAAACCTCATTATGATGTTTTCGTTATTAACCATTTAAACCCGATTACTTAAAATAAAAGAAAGTATAGAAAACAATAACCAAAATACTAAAAGAGAAATTTCTCTATTTTAATTAAGGTAATGTGACATTTTCATTCATTAAAAAGCTAGATATTAGTCCAGAGTATTTTATAATAAAAGAAATTTGTATTTAGACCACAATATTTTTAGAAATTACACAGAAAAAAATGAATTAGATTTTTCAACTAATCGTAATTAGCTGATCACAAATTAGGTGTTTTTTATAAACAATTAGAAGTATTGACAACTCCTTTAGCTGTTTTAAAATTCATTATTAGCTGGCTCAACTATTTAGATATAGTTGAATGCAATATTAAAAAAAATAGGTGATATGTCTAATCCTTTAGGTGTATTATCTAAAATAAGTAGTTGAAAATATTCAACTAATTTTAATAGACATTTCACCTAAACATTTGGTTATTTTAGAAAAGAAAACAAAAAATAAATTTACAGTTTTTATATAAATTCCTAATCAATGACTACATTTTTAAATATTTTGACTACAACAGTAGTTGATTCAGCTATTTCATTTTATATCAAAAGATTGACTAAAACATTAGCTGAACTACCGAAAACATTAGTTGAGTTATGAAAAGATCAAAATGTTTTATTTAGAAAAAAAAAACCAAAGTACCGCTAATTTTCTTCTTCAATGACTACTTTTCTAGATATCTTAACTATAACTTTATGTGATTCAGCCACTTTATTTTGCTCCAAAAAAAAATTAACTAAAACATTAGTAGAAATATCGAAAACATTAGCTGAATTCACATAAAAACACTCGTTTTATCAAGAGAAAATTCAAAGTACCGCTAGTTTTTTTTATATTCTAATTTTTAAAGTATTTGAATAGAAGCTAGTACATGGTGAATATTGATATAGTTAAGAAGCATAGTTTTGTTTTTGTAAAGTAAATTTTTAGTGATTGAAATTAATTTTAAAAAATTTAAAAAATAAAACAAGGTTCTGATACATTATCTACATCTAATACAGTAGGAAATTGGCTTTCAAATACACAGAGTACTTCTACGTTGCTGCAAGGTAGTAGCATAAGCGAAACTTTCGATTTGGTTAGTAGTTGTTTTTTTATTGTTTATACGTTAATGTAATTACTTGGATTCTTGATATAGTTTTACTTTTAGTAAATTTACGTTGGAGCTAAAGGTCAACGAGGTAAATTACTAGAAAAATATTACAGTTTATCTAAAAAATACCAAAACGCAGGAGTGTTAAAAACTTTCAGAAAGTCAATCATTACATTTGGAGCCTGAAAAATTTGAAATTTGAAAAACTAAGTTGCACAAATAAATTATATGTCCACAATACTTTATACCAAATTAATAACGTAATTACTTTTAGTGATTTGAAAACCAATAAGTTTTTTTTTGATTACCTATATATGTTTTAAAAATAATACATTTTTCTTTTGTTGTGAATAAAATTAAATGAAACATAACTTAATTTTTAATTTATAACATCCTCTTATTTTCAGGATTAAGCCTAAATAAATTTAGAAGAGAGCCGAATTTATTTAGGTACTTTTTCTAATATAATAGGTAAAAACTCTATTTTACTTATCTAATTAAATAGTTATATTTTCGATTCTTATAACTAAATAATTAGGCATATTATCTATTGTAGGGAATATTTTTCAGCTACTTATTTAGGTGAAATTCCAATTTCTTTAATTGAATTCCAAAAAGATTTTAAAATAATTCAACTAAAAGATTAGGTGAACCAACTATTTGCTTAGTTGAAATCCAGACAAATGTTTAGGTGTTTTAGCTAGTATTGTAGATGAATTAGCTAATTTATTTGGTTAATTTTCCTAATTATTAAAAAGTAAATTCAGCTAATTTAAATTAGGCAATGTAGCTAAATAGTTTAGGAGGCTGAAAATCAAGCATTTCATTAGGTGATTTATACTATTGTTTTAGGTAAATTTTCTACTCTTTTTTTTCTGTGTATAATAGACTTTGTACATGGAAATGTAAATGCTTTTCTAATTAAAATAGAAATTTATGTATGTATATAAATGGAATAAATTCCAATTAAATTCAAATTTTAAAAACAAACCTAACTATTTTTTTTAGAATTCAAGCCCAATAAATTGCACAAAACAAAGTTATAAAGAGCCTGAACTTATAATAACACGAATTAGAATACAACTTTAAGTCTGGTAACATATTATTCCTTTAAGTATGTCGAATCAGGTCCAGTTCTGATTTGCTCGATGCCTCAAGCGATTTCCAAAAAGTGCACCCGACCACCTTTTCAAAGTAATGAACAATATGCTGAGTATACATGATTAGTCATGAAATTGAAGCCTGGAAACGTATTGAAAAATATTTTTATTTTGTAAGTTTTCAATAGCATTTATGTTTTCCGGCGCCCTTTGCAGGTATTTATTTCGCATATATGGTAGATTCGACGCTGTCTCTAATAACTGTATTTGGAATTGAATCCAATCAGATATTCTTTTAAGTACGTCGAATAACTCTTTCTAGTAAAAATAGCAAAGAGAACATATTTACTAATGTAAAATTCGCAATATATAAACACCAAGAAATAAAAGATCTTAGTAATGTAAACAGCTGCCACCTTTTCTTCAAACAAAATTTAAAATACATTGTAGTTTTAATGTATACATGTGTGTATAACATGGTGTTTAAGATTTTGAAAAATAAAAAAAAATTTTTTATTGTCAGAACACATGTTTTATGAAAAATCTTTTCGAAAGGATCAAACATTTTTTGGATTCATAAAATACAAATTTTTAGTTTTCTCTTCTTCAGTACTTCCTTCTATCCCGTTGTTCTTTCATTTTAAACTTAAAGTTTAAAAATCAGTGAGGAAAAAAATTAAATTTTTAAGGTTTACAAGACTTTTATTCCGTTTTGTTTTAAGAAAACAAAAAAAAATAAAAAAAGCATTCTCATATAGTTTTGTGTGTTTAAGTGTTTTGTTTGTATTGTTTTTCCTCTGGTTGTTGTTTTTCCTTAGCATTGGTTTTCTTTGAAATTGTGAAATGTGACCCAAAAAGTTTTTCTTTTTTTTGTTTTGTGTAGTTTTTCCTTTATTCTTAATTTTTTCACCTAAATTTACATTAAACTGTTTTGTGGTTCAAATTTACTTTACATTAATTTTACCGGCATAAAAGTAAAATAAAATACCGCACACCCACTATGTAAACATTGAGTAAGAATAACTATATATACACATATCTATACACATACTTTTATGAATATAAAAATTTGGTTTATATTTCAAGTATAAGTGTATGTGATGAATAAGTTTAAGTATATGGAAGTAGTATACTCACTTAGTATTCGTAAACGTTTGCATATATGTAGGAAAAATAATTATTTTTTTTTGAAGAAAAACTTATTTTTTGTGTGTGTGTATATGTAAATAAGTTTTTTTGGTAACTATAAAACATCCTTTTGTAGACCGCATTAGATTGAAATCATGTGTTTTGCTGTTGAATGGAAAGGAAAGACTTACAATATAATTTTTATTTAACAAAATGTTTACATTACATAAGCACACATACTTTGTTATATGTAATATAATATTAACTATAAAAATATGCTTTATTTCTTTCGAAAAACTTTAAATCGAAATTTTTTTCCTAAATTTAAAAAAAAAAAAAAGAATAAAAGTTTCATTCCTTACGTCCTTTTTTTTGTTTTTTTTTTTTGTTGTATTACGAAAAAATTCTGTTCAATTTAGTGTTGTTACTAAGTGGAAAACAAATGAGAAAAATTTGTAGCATGTTAACTTCTTTATTCACTTTTCTACAAGTGTTGGACATAACATATAATAAAATCTTCTCTATATACATATACATATCTCTGGAATATATCTGTGCACTTTCACTTCAAGTGCAAAAAGCATAAGTACTGTTTTGTTTAAATATATATATTGTGTATATTGTGTATATTGCTGTATCATGCATATAATGGGGGACTAAATAATGGAGGTAATGCAAATATTTACTATAACAAAACAACAAAGG